AAGTTGCCATTATAATTCTGGTTTTTTGGGCATTGCTTTTGACTGATTTTCATTTTCTAACAATATAATGACCGTTATTCGCTAAACAGATCTTGCTAGTTTTGTCTCCATCATAAACAGATCCTGCTTAGTTTGTGGCACAAATAGTAGTAATGTAGTATCTGTCCTCATCTGTTGCACGGACGGTTAAAAAAACAAAAAACAAAGAAAAAAGTAACCATGAATATTATAGATCAAGTGACATTTTACCGTTTCAGTATTGTTGTCGAAGTTTCTGACCCGTGCTGAGTTCAGATACATGAGGTAGGAATGTTAAATTTGACATATACTATCTCCAATCTTTAATATAAGAATTAGATAACTAATTTAAGGATTAAAAAAATTAGTTAAGTTAATTATTTATAATATGTGTGTTGACTTCTCTACATTATCCTGTTTAGTAATGTATATTAGAATTACATTTGGGTGAAAATAACTTACAATATTTTTCAGAACACATTATAAATTTAGAAGACAAAGTGGATCGAAATCTTATATTTAGAATATCTAACCAACCAACTCTTATATTTAGGATCAGAAATAGTACTATTTTTGAAATTTTGAATATCGTTGCTATTATTATGCCTTCTGTCTGTGAGTGAATTTAGTTTGCAAGTGAGAGAGTAAAAAGTAACCATTTATGCTAGGACGATGCAGGGTGCGTAGACTTAAGCTGATGCGAGAAATATACAACAGATAAAGTTGCTGTTAATAAGTAACATATCTATATAAAAGTGGAGGAACTGAAACTTGCGTTTTAAACTTTTGAGTTAACATATGACATTGTCCACTGCTGAATGCTCTTTTTTTCTCTTTCCCATGTGTGTGTGTAAAAGGCTAAACGGCACCAGTGAGGGTTGAGAGTCAAAGTCGGAGAGAAGCACATGGAGAACTGGCAAGTGGCAAGAGAAGGGGGTAGGTGGCAACCTCCGCTAATTTAATTGTGTTGGCGGTAGTGGGTGCCCGATAGCCCCATTTGGAGGATGCTCTCTATTTATAAGAGCCAGGGATGCCATGTGGAGATCACAGCCTTATGGAATGGAGGCTACTGAGAAACTAAAAGCCAAAGAAAACGGAATCCCACGTAGCTGATAAAACCTCAGGCTCCGACTTCTCCATGCAAAGAAGTTCCAGATTGAGGTTTTATCACTACGTGGCTTTCCTCTGCTTTCTTGGATCCACAATACAGCTCTAGCTCCCATCTCCCTACTTACTGGTTCGCTGTGTCTGAACTCTGATCCCCCCTTTCTCTTTCCAAGTCATTTAACTCATTATCGGCTTCCAGCTACTCTTGTATGGACTTCTGCAGATCTAGGTATTTTTGACTGACTTAATATTACTTTCTCTACGGTGTGACTATATGTTATTTTAGCTATCAAAAAGTGCTTAATTATATTATTTGGCACGTAATTGGTATACACTAGCTACAAACATACTTGAAGGGCTATTCATAAGCTTTTTTTTCGTAAGAAAATCTAGGCAGTACATACAGCTGCAATAATTAACTTAAGATTCTCATCAGTTTTGACTTGCAAAATAATTAATTATGGTGATGTAGATGTAGGCATTTGCAGATGAAGATGCGTGGTTTCTTGCTTGTTCTTTATTTGAGAGGTCGGGGGTTAGGGAACTGACTTGTATGAAAGCATACATGTGGATGCTTTGTGGTATAATTGAATCTGAATATAAGGACACCCACAAGCAGCTTTTACTGGAGTTATATCGTCGCACTAAATCAAGATCTTGAAGATGGGACCTATATATCTTTTATTACTTGAATCATATATTTATGTGTTTGGCCAAAAAAAAAAATCATATATTTATGGAGTATGCAACAAAAGTCAATACCAGATCTCCGAGATTTGATGGGAAACTGTACGGAATACGAAGTTGAAATTAAGCCCTACGGGTCGGCCACCATTATAAAGCATGCAAGGCAGCAAAATGAAACGTGATCCGATGCATATATTTATGGCTTTGTGTCATCACAACAGTAATCCTCAGCTCTTCATCTACAAGTATAGTACAATGAAACATTAAAAAAAAAAAAAGAATAAGAAGAAGAAGTAATTTTGTAGCCAAACAATACCCTTAATTTTAGAAAATGTGATCACGTTCTTACGAGGTGATGAGGGAGTTGAATATGAGATCACACGTGAATATGGAGCTACTGGTCAACCACAACCACCCTTCATTCCCCAGTTAATACCCAATCGGCTACTATTTCTTTATTTTTCCGATTAAATGGCATTAATTCTGATTTCCATTTTTGTTTTGTAGCTTATAAGTGTTTCTAATGCTTTCCTTAACTGCTTTTCCAAACACCCCCCCCCCCAAAAAAAAATCGTTCCAATTTCTTTGGTCGGCGAACCAACAACGAAATCGTGCTTTATATCTGTCTAGAAGATCGTCTGCTTATTTTGGTTTAGCGCCTACATGTCTTGATCTGACAGCTATTAAGACAGGTTTACACAATTCATTTCACACAGACCATTTGTGTGTGGGTTTATGTTTACATAAATAATAATCGGGAAACAGCACGAAAAGTATATTAAGAAGTACATAAGTTTTGTACTTTACTCTTTTAATCCTATTTATAAGTTACCTCTAATGTATTTCATATAAACCATAAAAAACCTTAAACTTTATTAATTGTCATTTAAAGTTAAACAACTTTCCAACTTTATGCTTGTTTATTAATATAAATTATACCTCATGTAAATAAAGTCAATGTAATCATAAATGAAGAGTAAAATTACATCCATATGAAAAATTTCTTTCACTACTCTATAAATAGGACCAAAGAATATTTTTATTCTGTCTTATAAATAGAATAAGAAGAGTATATGGACAACCTATCAGCTTCTTAATAAATTTATTCTAAATGGAATTTTAAAATCCTTACATAAGAATATAAATGCAGTACAGTGGTCACCAATAAAAGCGGGCTTGTATTAATTATTTCCCGGTTCAAAAAATTTACAAACAAATTGTATTGGGCTCGCGACCTGTTCAGCTTCGCCCATTCATCAACCCGAAATTGCTTCGGTCAAAATTCGCCGAAATTCAGCAGTCAGTTTTGGATGTTTCAAGATGCTTTCAGGAATGGTATTGCTTCTGGCAGTTTCCTTTGGTGGATATCAGAAATTGAAGGGGTGTGTGTGTGTGTATTCCTTGCTCAAATGGCTTATGTTGATACTTTCTCTTAAATATTTATTCTGATTTATTATAAAAAAAAAAAGCATTTCGTGCACAGTGATTTCCTCTTGTGTGGCTCAACTCTGAAGATGGATGAAGGATTATCATTTCATATAAGTTCGTATTTCATGTCTTTTTGATATCAATATTACTAATAAATAGTAGTCGTCACTCGGATTGTAAAGTGTTTTTTGGGCAAATCAAAGATCTTCAGGATGGGAGTTGCAATAGAACTTCTGGATCATCCTTGCAATTTCTATGCTACTTCGTATTATTTATGTCGTTACGTTTTCCAGGATCATCGCCTACCATCTCTATATTACTATACGCTTTCACATATTAGAATTCACAGATTCTGATTTTGACAAAGTGATGGCGAAGGGAAAGAGACAGATGCAGCAAATTAAAGTGAGGGGACAAATTAAATGCGATGACATGAAATCAAATTATTAAAGGAGACTTTGTGACTTAAGCCTCACAATTGGAGAATTTGGTATGGCAGTGGCATATATGATGATCGAAAGGGTAATGCCGCACTTGCTTGGAACTGATATTCAATCATAGCGATTGATTGTGAAGCATGCTTAGCTTTAAAATTCCAGAGCCGTGAGAGAATCAGCCTCTCACTCGCTTTCTGGACCTAGGAATTAATGAATTTCCCTCAAAAATCAATGCACCTCGTTCTTTTCTTGTTTTGAAAACAATTTTTTAATTTTTAAAAATAACAAATAAGTTTTTTAAAAAAATAATTTGGTAATTTGTTTTTAGTTGGCTGTCTTAAGAACATAAATATGCTTTAAAAAACTATAAAACCAGAATAATTTTTACATTTTTTTTGTTTTTGTATTTCTTTGTACAAGATTGGAAAAACTTTCTTTTCTTCTTCCCTACTGCCCGGCCATGTACTAACACCAACAACGCCCGCAGCTTATAAATGTATTTTTTATATTTTTTACTTCAAACGTGAATTTTTTTAAAAATAATCATCCAAATATTTTTTCCTTTTTTTAATCCTCAAAATTTATTTTGAGAACAAGAAAAAAAAAGCCCGATATTTGCGTGTGATACTGGAATTAATGAATCTTCCGCCAATCCCCACACAGTGTTTTGGTTATCTCCCTCAAGTAATGTACTCCACGTGTGGCTGTTGAATTTGGTGCGGGCATATCGTGGCTGTCGCGTCGTCAACGTGGATGGGTTCTGGTCAAATTCCCAACTTACTTTCTACCACACACACAACACTACGGTCTTCATTCCAAATTTTACAAATAAAGTTAAAAACGACAAAAACATGCGCCACATGGCGACCAGGGATTGTGCGGTTGTTCTAAGCGGGATCCCAACCAACGGTGGTCCAGTTTTTCCTTTATAAGAAACCTCATCTTTAATTTCTTCACAACCCCTGCTTCCCATCCCATCCCATCCCATCCGCTTCATTACACAACTTAAAGAGACACAACACACTTCATTGATTCGCGTAAATACACATTGCCTCTTATATGGTTTGCTTCGGTCATTAATGATTGTACAAACCATGTATTCTTCCCGTTGTTAATATAAAACTTATTTAACTAATTTGATTAGATTAAAAATGTTAGTTAAGTTAGTTAATTATAAAAAACATGACACGTTTTTTCTAAAATATCATAATTATCTTTTTTAATACTCCCTCTTTCTCCTCTATTTAATTATGATTGAGGGAGTATCTATAGAGATAATTTAGAAAAAATTGATAAATATAATAAATAAGTCTTATATTTAGAATCAAAATCCACTTAACAATTAGATTCTATATTAAGAACGAGTATCACGTAACTAACATGAATATCTTCATATACGTACAATACCGCATGCCAATAATTAAACACTCCATTCTAGTCCTCTCCCACTTATTCATCAATAATACAAACAAAAGCGTTGTTCCTTTTCAATCATCTGTAGTGGGGTGATGGAACAATTATATTTCCACCACACACGTATCCATCATATGCCATTCGTATGAGCTTCGGACGATTCTCTCTTCCTGCATGCCTCCGCAAGCAGTGACTCTAAGGCTCGCCACGATGAACCGCCCTCCGCCACCGCCTTCTTCGCCGTCTCAGCCAATTCCGTCACTTTCTTCCTCACCTCTCTCCCCTTCTCTCCTTCCATCAGCTCCCTCACCATCGTCCTCACGCCTTCCCCTTTCACTAACCCTCGAACTGAATCGCTGTGAGTGTCCACTCTCATCCCCACTTTTATGTCTTCCTCCACCATTTTCGCGTTCAGGTGCTGTTCCGCCATCATTGGCCACGCCAGTATCGGAACTCCTGCGCATATTCCTTCCAGCACCGAGTTCCACCCACAGTGGCTCAGAAACCCCTTCACACTCTCGTGCATCAGTATCTCCCTCTGGTCTACCCACTCTCTCACTACGATTCCTCTCTTCTCCACTCTTTCTTCGAACCCTTGAGGCAGCTCCCACTCTTTCTTCCTTATAACCCACATAAACTCCACCGCTGATTCTTCCAAACCAATGGCTATTTCTTTCAGTTGTTCGCTTGATATCTCTGCCTGTGACCCAAAGGCGATGTACAGAATTTCCTGCTTCTCGTCTAACCACTCCATCCATGTTGGTTTTCTTGATCCTTCACTGATATTAATCTTTGGTTCTTCGGCCAGACAAAGCGGCCCCACACAGTAGTATGGTTTATGATCAGCCTGTTCCTTCATGTAATCAATGTACACAGGCTCCAGCTCATAGAAGCTATTCACCACCATTCCAAAGCTTTGCGAGGTGGATGAAAAAACGTTCATATGGAACTCAAAAGAAAGACTTTTTGGGTCTGGGTTTCGAAACTCGGGTTCTACGTCGTTCTTGCTGAGCCAGATCCACGGGAACCGGTTCAACTTGACCGACTCGTCGTCAGGCTGGGGCCCATTGAAGATCCCGGATATGGCAGCTTCTCTGCAAACGGCTACGGCGTAAGAGCTCATACCGTAGTAAACCAACCTGGGAATACCAAACTTGGAGGCAGAGTGCAGGGTCCACCATAAGAAGCCGTCGGAAACCATAAGGCTTATCCTTGGAAGAGTCTCCAGCATTCGTTCGAAGTGGGGCTGCATATGGACCGTGGCAGAGGTGAACTTGTAGAACAGAGACATGGAAGAGAGTTGATCGGTGCTCTCCACGCCGGCAGGGATTTCAGGGACGTTTGCGGGGAATGGAATGTCAACGATGGAGGCGCCAGTAGTGTTTTGGAGGGATTCGGTTACAAATGGGCGGTTCGCCGGGGTGGTGACAACGGTGACCGATGCGTTGCGACGGAGGAGGAGGCGGGCGAAGTCGAGAAGGGGGATGGTGTGGCCTTTGGCCATGAATGGAATGAGAAGAACGTGGGGTTGGCGTGAGCAGTCTTCTTCAGGCGGTAGCGAGCCCATGTTTTGCACAACTGCAATCTGCAGAGATTGATTGGGTGATGGAATCGGGAAAAGGGTTATATAGGCAGTTAGGTTTGAAGGATGACGCGTCCCCCACAAAACGTTTTACACATCTTGCACTATGTATTTACGGTGTAATGTAAGCATGTGCATGACAAATATTTTGAAAAATTTCCCCCTAATTAATGATGACGCATGCCTTTTTGACAGAATGGAATAGGTTTCGATGCTAAGCAGAACTCATTGTCACTTGGCATTATACTTTCTAGATTTAACTTGAGTGATTCATACTGAATCTTTTTTGTTTTTTTGTTTTACTTTTTTTTTTTTTGTTTATAATGCATTCCCCTTAAAACCAATACGCGCGCCAGCTCAATGTAATTTGTATACATGGAGTAAATCCTCCATCATTAATTCTTACAAAACCTTCAGTCTCTCTTTACAGTGACAAGTGGCTGTTGAATTTGGGGTGGGCATAGTCATGTCTGTTATCGAATTGTTGAAGAATTCTCGTGAAATCCTCAACTTAATTGTGTGCACCACATTCAATCTGAAACGAGCAAAGAAAGTTCAAAACGACAGAAAAATGTGCCCCCACCCAGGGATGATGGTGAATCTTTGTTCCACATAGACTGGCCCATGGTACTGAAAGCCACACCTGTTTCCATATGGCTGTATGGTCCAATTTCCTTTATTATTTATGCAGGCACAAAAGCTCCCGCTGTTCGCATCGCACGTACACTTCGCTTTCGGCTTGAATTTAGCATCACATCATGCCATCTGGATTATGCTAGCAGCTAGCAAAATCAAATACTCCCTCCTCCTTTCTCATATGTGTGTGTGTGTGTGACAACTAATTAAATTACGTGAATTGAAATGTTACTTAAAATTAGCTAAGACTATTAAATATGCAAAAGATTTTTTATTTTTTGAAAACATACCCTTATTTATGAAGATGTTGAGTAAGAAAGAGAATGTTTGGAAAAAGATACGAGAAAAGCATCTAATTAATAATTGAAATTAAAAATGAAATACGTGCATACAATTTTTAATGTGTGCAAAGTGTTTTTGATATATAGCACGTCCATAACCATATAAGAGAGAATGTTAGTTATACAAAAGATTAATACCTCCTGTTATTTTAGAAGAGCTTAAAATTTGAATTGCCTTGGTAGTTTTTATAATTAAGATCCCCCTTGTAGACTTGTAATGCATTTTTGCTATTTTTGTCTCTAATTAATTTTACATATTGCATTAATTAAAAAGTTGGCAAGTTGGTACACCTTTGATCCTATTTATAAGTCACTTTCAATATGTTTTATATAAACAAAAAAAATCTTAAACTTTATTAACTCTAATTTAAAATTTAACAAGTTTTCAACTTTATTTTTATTTAGTATACATTATAACTCATGAAAATAACGCCAACAATAATTAATGAAAGATAAAATTGTACATTCATATAAAAAATTTCTCTCATTATCTATTAATAGGACAAAAAAATATTCTCTTTTTATCCTGTTAAAAAAAAAGAGAGGAGTATATTACATTATCTTTCATATTTTTCCTCATACTTGTCCTCTTTCTTATTAATTTATTATTTTTAATTAATTTTAACTGTTTTTTTAAATTTAGTTATCAGGAGGACAGGAAAGAGTATTAGAATGGAGGGAGAGGAGTGCAGCTAAATGGAAACGAAGAAACCTCTGTGCTTGGAGAATAATTCATGATATCCTCGTGTAGCACGAGGTAGACGCGGCCAGCTGCTAACTTTCTCACAACTCGTAAGCGCCCACATGACCCATAACCCAAAATAAAGATGACGTTCACTTAATTTGTGCTCTGTAACAAAATAAACTACCCATTTGATTATTAATATAAGATTTATTTAACTAATTTGATTAGATTTAAAAAGTTAGGTAAGTTAATTAATTATAAAAAATAAACATGTTTTTCCTTAAAGAGTATTCATAGGAATAATTTAGGAAAAATAATAAATATAAAAAATAGATCTTACATTTAGAACCAAAATCAACTCGACAATTAAGTCCTATATTAAGAACCAGAAGAATATATCATCTTGTTCTGGTTTTTTTGCGTCCTTAATTATTCACCACACATTCTCTCATTACATTTTTTATGCATTTTCCTTCATTTTTTAATTTATTATAAATAAATATATTTAAAAATAAAAAATATGTTTTATCGATTTATTATTTTTAACTAGTTTTAATTAATTTTTTATTATACGCAAATTTATTATTTGATGGCTATAATAAGAACTAAATGAGCATATACTGAGTATCTGGCCCCGCATCAAGTTATTGCGACTTAGGGTAATTTATCAGTTATACGCTTATAGTACAACAAAACAAAGCCGTCTATCCTGGGGCCCTCTCGAGTGCTCCAATTCAAGCGTGAGTGGAGCAATGGAGATCGTTGGCAGCAAAAAAAAAAAAAGAGGAGCAATGGATCGGAGATCAGCATAGTGCCAACGCAAACGCGCCTAAACCAATCACACACCATTACTACGATCACCGGAGGATTCTGTCTTCTTGCATGCCTCCACAAGCATTGAGTCAAGGCTCGCCAGGATGAGCCGTCCTCCGCCACCGCCTTCCTCGCCGTCTCAGCCAACTGTGTTACTTTCTTCCTCGCTTCCCTCCCCTTCTCTCCTTCCATTAACTCCTTCACCATCTTCATCACTCCTTCTCTTTTCACTAACCCTCGCACTGAACCGTGGTATTTGTCAACCCTGAGCCCCACCTTTATCTCTTCCTCCACCATTTTAGCGTTCAGATGCTGTTCCGCCATCATTGGCCATGCCAGTATCGGAACTCCTGCGCATATTCCTTCCAAAACCGAGTTCCACCCGCAGTGGCTCAAAAACCCCTTCACAGCCTCGTGCCTCAGTATCTCCCTCTGGTCTACCCACTCTCTCACTATGATCCCTCTCTTCTCCACTCTTTCTTCCAACCCTTGAGGCAGCTCCCACTCCTTCTTCCTTATCACCCACATAAACTCCACTACTGATTCTTCCAGACCAATTGCTATTTCTTTCAACTGTTCGCTTGATATCTCTGCTTGCGATCCAAACGCCACGTACAGAACTTCCTGCTTCTTGTCTAACCATCCCATCCATGTCGGTTTTCTAGATTCTACGCTTAGCTGATTTCTCTGGTCTTCCGCCAGACAAAGCGGCCCCACACAGTAGTATGATTTATGATCTGACTGTTCCTTCACATAATCAATGTACACAGGCTCCAGCTCATAGAAGCTGTTCACCACCATTCCAAAGCTTTGTGAGGCGGATGAAAAGACGTTCATATTGAATTCAAAAGAAAGACTTTTTGGGTCTGGGTTTCGAAACTCGGGTTCTACGTCGTTCTTGCTAAGGCGGATCCACGGGAACCGCTTCAACTTCACCGACTCATCGTCAGGCTGGGGCCCGTAGATGATGCCAGAGATGACAGCTTCTCTGCTAACGGCTTCGGCGTAAGCGCTCATGCCGAAGTACACCAGTCTTTGAATTCCGAACTTGGAGGCAGAGTGGAGTGTCCACCACAAAAAGCCGTCGGAAACCATAAAGCTTACCCTTGGGAGATTCTCCAGCACGCTTTCGAAGTGGGGCTGCATGTGAACCGTGGCGGTGGTGAACTTGTAGAAGAGAGACATGGAAGGCAGTTTATCAGTGCTTTCAACGCCGGCGGGGATTTCAGGGACGTTCGCAGGGAACGGAATGTCGACGATGGAGGCGCCAGTGTTGTGGAGAGATTCGGTTGCAAATGGGCGGTTGGCCGGGGTGGTGACAACGGTGACCGATGCGTTGCGGCGGAGGAGGAGGCGGGCGAAGTCTAGAAGGGGAATTGTGTGGCCTTTGGCCATGAATGGAAAAAGAAGCACATGGGGTGTGCTTGAGTCTTGTTCACACCTAATCGAACCCATGTTTTCCAATTTACCAGAGTTTGCCAGTGATCGCCCCTGTCTGTGTGTGTAGCTTGAAGAAAGACCGTATGTCGGTGAATGTGAATTACATTCCAGGAACGACATGTGCAATAGTGGCGATACAATAAATATGCAGCCACTTTTTACCACTATCATATAATTAATTATAGGCCACACATGCTCACATAGCCCCCAGTCAGCAAGTTTCTTTCTTTTTTTGGGTAGATTTTTTATATATCATTTGTGAACGTATACGCACAGAAATTGTTTGTCATGTCAGAGTACGAATTCAATGAATGCTACCACACACGTATGATGACTAGACGTACAGGGAATTGAAAGCCCACGGACACGGAGAAGTTGTCGAGGCACGACAGTGACCTCTTCTAGAAACAACAATAATTTTACTCAGATTTCCATTCCTTTTTATATCACCACTGTGTGTTTGATTCTCTTGCTTAAGTAACCTTGCTTTTGTTGTGTTTTACTCTGGCTTTCATCGGAGACAACAACGCCACAGGTTAATTAGTTCTTATATTCAATTAATAATTAAATGACTACCCGAATTAATCTGTTAATTATCTTATTAATATGTCTGCAAAGATATTGTTTAAGCATTGCGATCTGATCCATGCTGGCCTCAGCGAACAAGAGATGCGTGATTGGGATTCCGTACGCGTTTGCTTGATCACTGGGGATAGAAAGGAATTACGCACACATAATCCGTTTGGATGAGCGATTGAAAAAGCAGCTTATTAAAAAAGCAGTTTATGGAGAAGTGAAGTTGAGTAAAAGCTAAATTGAATAAGCTGAATTGTGTTTGGATTGGAGTTTAGAAAAGCAGCTTATTTGCAAAAGTGAGATTGATAAAAGATTGTTTGGATAATGATTGAGCAAAAGTAAGTTTGGTTGTAAAATGACCAAAATAGATATGAGTTTTAATAAATAATAAAACATTATTAAAAAATAATTTCACATAATATATGAAATTAAAATAATTTAATATGAAGAAGTTATAAAAAATATTTTAAATATAAAATAAACATGAAAAAATAAAAATATTTTTTTAGGAGTATATTTAAAAATAAAAGTATATTTCTAACTTATTTATTGCTTTCAATTAATTTTAACTAATTTTTTATTATCTATAAATTAGTTATTTAAGGCTTATAATAAGAATCAAAGGAGATAATAAATTTCTTAACTTTCTCTCTCTCCATATTTTAAAAGCTATAAGTGATAAGCCATAAGTCATAAGCTGTTAATTTTAGCTTATAGCTTATTGTAGCTTTTCAGACAAAAGCCCGATTGCAAAAAAGCCCAACCAAACAGACCTATTATGTCAATCGGGCTTATGGAGCTTATAAGCTACTTATAAACTCAAAATAAGTGATGCCAAACAGGCACTATATCACCCGACAACTGCAATCTTTTACGTACTACAGCATGAATTTCCAACGAACCCCTGAAGCCGGTACCTTTTTTTGTGTGTGTTGTATCCGAGCTTATTAGAATCAAAACATGTTTTTTTTTAAATTTAAAAAATATTTATAGAAGTATTTACAGATTACTTATTAATAAGGTTTTTATACCAGTAATGAGATTTGAACTCATAATTTTGTAGATTATAAACTGACTTTTTTTACGAATTAAATCAATTTTTCTTAGCCACGTATTATTGTTTGTCTCTATCTACGTTTCACGTTCACACATACACGCACGCATCTTGGTTTGAAGTGGGTGGCATGGGTTTTGTCTCTCAGGGAAGAAGCCCAGATTGCTAGGCCCTTAACACACACACATAAAAATAGGGTGGGCATCATAGCCTCCATCTTGCCACTGGCAATAAGTAGTTGATTTTTAATTTATTTAAAGTTCTATATTAAAAGTCTATCTGCTAATAAAAAATTATTTGTTATTGTATACAATGAAATTTATGTTTGAACATATTTTTAAAAATGTTTGAATTTTGATAAAGTAAAAATTGCTTGGAAAGTAATTGTGGAGTGCGTGAAAGTTGTTCAGAACCAAAAAAAAAAAAACAACCAAAAGTAACTTTTGGAAAGTAAATTTTCAGAAATATTATTATACATGTACTCTCTGAAAAAAAATACCCAAACTATTTTTTGCTTTTGAAATCTCCTCAAAACGACTTTTTCGGTCTTGTAAAAGTGAAAACAAATCGTGACCTAAATTACAATCATTCATTACAAGTTTACCTGCCCAGAAGTATTTAGGAGTAATTGAATTAGCTATTATATTTAAAAGTAATTTTATGGAGTTTAAAATAAATTTGCGGTGGGAGTTTTGTTTTAATATGCATAAAAGTTTTTTAAAGTGCTTTTGACGGATACGAAAGACCCCTGTTCATAAAGAGAAGAAACACGGACTAACCAGATAACAAGATGGTCTTGGGGGGCCTAATTTGAACAGGAGATAGGCATAAGATAATTACAGAAGTAAATAAAAAACATTAACCCAATAACGGGGAAACAGATCGGGGAAGAGAAAGGAGATCTTGGAAGCCAAACCATTTTTTTCCCGAGAAATAAGAAACAACTTAAATATGCATGTGCGTGAGTTACGTTTTTTTTATACGGAATATGTATAATACTAGCGAACTAGAGCATACGTTATATGGCCGGAATCCTCTTTCTAAAGTTTGCCGACAACCATCCAAATTAAAAAACCCTTCACCTCAAAACCAAATACACAACGAATACTTGTTACATTTTAAAAAAAAATTTAAATCTTTATAGGAGGATCCGAGCGTTATCGCTATTTATATCTGATTTAAAACCGTTTAAATTTAATTTTTTAATTAATTTTTTTTAAAAATTATTTTTTTGAAAGAATAATAATTAAAAAATTATCTTTATTTTTAATTCTATACATATTAAAATAATTATTTAAATAAATAAAAATTTAAAAAAATCTAAATTATTTAAATGAAATATGAATGATTCATATTTGATAAATTTAAGAAACTCGTTATTAGAGTACTGAAATTAGTTTTCTATATTCCGTGCTTCTTCGCTTCAAATTACATCACTCACTGCCTAGGAGAAGACCTTTGCTAACCGACGCCCTCACGGAGTCCCAATTCATAACCCAGAACGTAAGAAGATGACATTAGAACCCACAATACAGACGTAACTGAATGAGGAGTTTCAACTTATGACTTATTAATAATATTACAACGAAAGCACCGACTCTGGGGGACTTCTCGAGTGTACATTTTCAAGCACGAGAGGTCACAGTAATGAACACAAGCATATTGCCGTAACAGGCGCGGGTAAGCCAATTACATACCATTACTACGATCACCGGAGGATTCTGTCTTCCTGCTGCATGCATCCGCAAGCAGTGAGTCCAAGGCTCGCCAGGATGAGCCGCCCTCCGCCACCGCCTTCTTCGCCGTCTCAGCCAACTCTCTCACCTTCTTCCTCTCGCTTCTCTCCCCTTCTCTCCTTCCATTAACTCCCTCACCATCTTCCTCACCCCTTCTCCGTTCACTAACCCTCGAACTGAACCGTGGTACGTGTCCACTCTCATCCCCACCTTTATCTCTTCCTCCACCATTTTCGCGTTCAGGTGCTGTTCCGCCATCATTGGCCACGCCAGTATCGGAACTCCTGCGCATATTCCTTCCAGCACCGAGTTCCACCCACAGTGGCTCAGAAACCCCTTCACACTCTCGTGCCTCAGTATCTCCCTCTGGTCGACCCACTCTCTCACTACGATCCCTCTCTTCTCCACTCTTTCTTCGAACCCTTGAGGCAGCTCCCACTCCGCCTTCCTTATCACCCACATAAACTCCACCATCGATTCTTCCAAACCGATCGCTATTTCTTTCAACTGTTGACTTGATATTTCTGCCTGTGACCCAAACGCCACGTACAGAACTTCCTGCTTCATGTCTAACCACTCCATCCATGTCGGTTCTCTAGACTCTACACTTAGCTTATTCCTTGGCTCCTCTGCCAGACAAAACGGGCCCACGCTGTAATATGGTTTTTGGTTGTATGCTTCCTTCATATGATTCACGAACACAGGCTCCAGCTCATAGAAGTTGTTCACCAACACTCCGCTTTCAGCGGTGGATGAAAGCACCTTCACAATGAGCTCATTATAAGCAAGACCTTCCGAGTCTGGGTTTCGAATCTCGGGGTCTATGTCGTTCTTGCTGAGCCGGATCCACGGGAACCGCTTCAACTTGACTGGCTCGTCTTCAGGCTGGGGCCCATAGCAGATCCCAGAGATAAAAGCTTCTCTGGTAATGGCTTCAGAGTAAGAGCTCATGCCGAGGTACGCCAGTCTCGGAATACCAAACTTGGATGCCGAGTTCAGGGTCCACCATAAGAAGCCATCAGAAACTATAAAGCTTACACTCGGTAGAGTCTCCAGCATCCTTTCGAAGTGGGGCTGCATGCGCACAGTGGCAGAGGCGAACTTCTGGAACAGAGACATGGAAGGGAGTTTATCGGTGCTCTCGACACCGGTGGGAATATCCGGGACGTTAGCAGGGAATGGGATATCGACAATGGACGCAGTTGTGTTTTGGAGGGATTCAGTTACGAATGGGCGGTTGGCGGGGGTGGTCAGAACGGTGACGGATATGTTGCGGCGGAGGAGGAGGTGGGCGAAGTCGAGGAGGGGGATGGTGTGGCCTTTGGCCATGAATGGAAAAAGAAGCACGTGGGCACACTGAAGTGAACCCATGTTTTTTTTGGTTCAGCTGATTTTGCGTGGGATCGTAACTTCATAGAGCTTGATAGCTGTACGGACCATGTAGCTGCAGGCGGGGCATATTCCAGGAACGCCATGTGCGAGAGCGGCGACGCAATAAATTACAACAACTTGCTGGTCTGCCAATGTACACGTATATATTACGTTTATTTGTAATATATAGGTTTTGCATCTTCTGAAATATCCTTACTAATCAAATATATTAGTTAAAATTATTATTATTATAAAGACTACTTTAAAAATATATATAAATATAAGAGATAAAGTATATTAGAATTTTATATTTATAATTAAAATAAAAATTAAACGGGTTTTTATTAAAAAACAGAACTAATATATTACAACTGGAAGCGTGGACAGTGTAACGATAATAAATTGTGTTGTAATTTTTTTTTCAGGATGACGCAAAGTCAGAGGACATGTTCTTGTTATATATGAGAGATATCAGTCTTAATTTTTCTCCGGGCAGGGTACGTAATTGAAATATCACCCTTCAGGTTACCTTAATTTATTAAAGAAAAAAATCCCAAACAAGAAGATGAATGTAGCTGTAATTTGTTTGTTGCAATTTACTGTGTAAGCTGGTTTTATATATGCTTAAGGGCCTGTTTGGTTGAGGGGAGGGAAGGGGAGGGAAGGGAGGGAAGGGTAGGGAAGGGGAGGGGAGGTTTCATCCTCACCTTGTTTGGTTTGATTAAAAAGGAGGGAAGGGGAGGGTATTTAATGATCCGTTGTTTGGTTCAAGGAGGGGAGGGGAGGGATGGTAATAATCAATTTACCATTTTACCCTTACATATTAGTTTATGTTTTTTATTGATATATTATATAAATTAATTTACATCTTAATTTAAATTATATAATTTAATAAAAATTCAGTCTTATCATGTTAATATGTGTATTAAAAAATTGGTATAATAATTTTTTATTCTAATTAATATAATAATATATTTAAAATAATCAAATTAACAAATTTTATATGCTCTAAGAAAAATGAAATTTTATTTTCTTTAGGCTATCTTTTTTTCCATCTTTAAAATATATTTAATAAATAATATATTTATAAAAAACAATTAATTTATAATATTATAATTTTTTATTTAAATAATTTTTTATTTTTAAATAATTTTTATAATATATTTTTAATTATAATAATGTATATATTTTTTATTTTTTTACTTAGGATAATATATTTTTTATTTGAAATAAATATTATAATAATATATTTTATGGATAGAAGTGAAATATTAAAAAAATCATAAGAGCATAATGGTCCAAAATTTTGGCTCCCCTCCAAAAACCCCCAATTTGGAGGGGAGCCAAAATGGGGGGAGGGAGGGGAGGGGAGGGGACATTTTAGCTCCCCTCCCCTACAAAATTTTTAACCAAATGAGGGGAGGGGCTCATTTTCCCTCCCTTCCCCTCTCCCCCAACCAAACACACCCTTGGATGGAAACCAAACCATGATTTCAGAAGTATTTTTTCAGTTTATAAAATAAATATGTAGAGGAGTTTATCTCGTTTTACGAAAAAATATTTTTGATGATCATTTTTAAGAGTTGTTAAACACCTCTTAAGTGATGAAGACAACATTGGGCTGGAATATTTTCTCTCTCATGAATGACTGAACTGATAATTTATTTCGTTGGACCAAAAAAGAATTGGTTATTTATTAATTTTAAAGGCCATGGCAAAATTGTTTCCTTCGTAAGAGACATTTCACTTTTTTTTTTTGATTTGGTTGACGACATTTCACTTTAATTCCTAGTGTGTTTTAATTTCTTCTATTTTAAGAGGTGTTTGGCAAATAATAAAAAACACTTTTAAACTCCGAATTAAAATTTGAGCCCAAAACTATCTAAACATTTTAAAATTTTTGAAAATCATTATTTAGGCAGAAACTACAGTTTCAGCTTTCAAAACCAAAATTTTGTTAAAAAAACAAAATCATTTCGCTCCTAAAGGGACATAAATGTCGTCGGAGTATTTATAAGGGTGTCAGAAGCTGTACAAATACTATTTTCATTGCAAGCTCACAATTAATACGTTGCTTTTATGTATGTTTATTTAATTTTATGAAAAAATACTATGAGATTTCATATTTGAAATCTTTAAGTAAAGTAATACTTTTCGGTTTGGCCAAAAAAAAAAATCATTTTTTTAGAAACATATTTAATCTTATATTTTATAAATACATATATACATATTAAGTAGGGAAAATGGCAAATAAAGACCCTTGAATATATAAAATGGCAAAATGGGACCCTGAATTAACAAAATTGCTACCAAAGACCGGGTCCTAAATATGAATTATGAAATGTTGGGCAAAAGTCAAAAATGCCCATCTGCTTGTTTTTTTTCCAATCTCTTTTCTTCTTCTTTTCCTCTCCCTCTCTTCGTCTATCTCTTTCCTACTCCCTTCTCCTTCTACCCTAACCCCATTTCCTCATCCCCACCCCCATATCTCCCGATTCTCTCTTCTCTCTTCTTTCTCTATCATCTTCTTTGTTCTTGTGTCCGTCTTCTTTATTTCTTCTTCCAAAGCAAGTAAATGATGGGACTAAGATGAAGGATACCAAGACAAACAAGAATCAAGCTCAGCAAAACTTCTACTGGACATTGTCGAAGCCTAGCTCGGGTAAGGAATTGGGTTCCCTTTTGTCACCGAGTTCTGGGTTGAAATTGAAGATAGTTGCGGTGGCGACGGCGGGCACTGCTAGTAGGAAGGAATCGTTCTTATCTCCTGTATCGGATGCTCTCCATATATTGTAGCTTGAGATGAAAGTGTATCATCTTTTGATTCACTCTTTGTTGAATCCATACCTAAAGAGGGGGATTCGAATATTGTCTTCTTTGTTCTGTTCTTCCCCTTGATTCATTGATTGGTTTGTAAGTAGAGAACGAAGCTAAACACAGAGGGTTCCCCTTTAATGTTCTTTGATTTGTTCTTTGAGTTTATGTTCTCTTTATTCATAAATGAATGGCAATGTGTGAGTTCAATGATAAGCTTTATTTTGTTGGGAAGTTTTTGGAGTGTGGACAACCTGAACTTTTATATTCCTTCTATCTTTTGTTTTTAAAAAAATATATAAACAATTGAAGTCAAGGGCAATGCAAAAAGGGTAACGAAGTGGACTAGAAAGCATGAGCTGTGCATTTTTCATCTTGTATGAAAACTTTATCGGAACTTATCATTGGTCTTACTTAACTAGTAATTGGTCTAACTGAACTTGTCATGAATCTTATATCAGAAGTGTCTGCTGTCAAAGAAATCTGCATATTCTTATTTCAACAGAGAAATTTAAAATCGTATGAAAACCTTATCAGAACTTGTCATTGGCTTTACTTAACTTGTCATTGGCCTAACTGAACTTGTCATGAATCCTATATCAGAAGTGCTTGCTGTCAAAGAAATCTGCATATTCTTATTTCAACAGAGAAATTTAAAATTGTATGAAAACCTTATCGAAACTTGTCATTGGCTTTACTTAACGTGTCATTGGCCTAACTGAACTTGTCATGAATTCTACATCAGAAGTACTTGCTGTCAAAGAAATCAGCAAATTCTCATTTCAATAAAGAAATTTAAAATCGTATGAAAACCTTATCAGAACTTGTCATTGGCTTTACTTAACGTGTCATTGGCCTAATTGAACTTGTCATGAATCCTATATCAGAAGTACTTGCTATCAAAAAAATCAGCAAATTCTCATTTCAACAGAGAAATTTAAAATCGTATGAAAACCTTATCAGAACTTGTCATTGGTTTTATGTAACTTGTCATTGGCCAAATTGAATTTGTCATAAATTCTATATCAGAAGTGCTTACTGTCAAATAAATCTGCAAATTCTCATTTCAATAGAGAAATTTAAAATTATACAAAAACCTTATTGGAACTTGTCATTGGCCTTACTTAACTTGTCATTTCGTAAATAAATGTGCAAATTCAGTTATTTTAACAGAGAATCTCAAATTTGTATGAGTAGCTTATCAAAAGTTATCATTTGCCCTAATGAAGTTATCATTTGAGTAACTGAACTTGTCATTTCATAAAGAAATATGAAAATTCCGTCATTTTAACAATTTAAGCTCAAATTTGTATGAGTAGATTATCAAAAGTTGTCATTCGACTTACTAAAGTTGTCATTGGCCTTACTGAAGTTGTTATTCGTCCAATAATTGTGGAAATTGTCATTTTAACAGACAAACTTAAATTCCTATCAAATGCTTATCGGAACTTGTCGTTTACGTTACTAAACTTGTCATTCGCCTTAGTAAACTTATCATTAACCTGACAATTATGAAAATTGTCATTCAAAATGTAAGTACTATTATAACATCAATCCAATCGTATCATAACCACTACATAATTTTAAATTATGTCAAGTAAGGCCAATGACAAGTTAAATGAGGTTTTCATACAATTTTAAATTTTTCTGTTGAAATAAAAATTTGCAGATTTCTTTGACAGCAAGCACTTCTGATATAGGATTCATGACAAATTTAGTTAGGCCAATAACAAGTTAAGTAAGGCCAATGACAAGTTCCAATAAGGTTTTTGTATAATTTTAAATTTCTCTGTTGAAATGAGAATTTGCAGATTTATTTGACAGCAAGTACTTCTGATATAGGATTCATGACAAGTTCAATTAGGCCAATGACACGTTAAGTAACAAGTTCTGATAAGGTTTTCATACGATTTTAAATTTCTTTGTTGAAATGAGAATTTGCTGATTTCTTTGACAGCAAGTACTTATGATGTTGGATTCATGACAAGTTCAGTTAGGCCAATGACACGTTAAGTAAAGCTAATGACAAGTTCCGATAAGGTTTTCATACAATTTTAAATTTCTCTGTTGAAATAAGAATATGCAGATTTCTTTGACAGCAAGCACATATAAGATTCATGACAAGTTCAGCCAGACCAATAACAAGTTAAGTAAAGCCAATGACAAGTTCCGATAAGGTTTTCATACAATTTTAAATTTCTCTGTTGAAATAAGAATATGCAGATTTCTTTGACAGCAAGCACTTCTGATATAGGATTCATGACAAGTTCAGTTAGGCCAATGACAAGTTAAGTAAAGCCAATGACAAGTTCTGATAAGGTTTTCATACGATTTTAAATTTCTCTGTTGAAATAAGAATATGCAGATTTCTTTGACAGCAGACACTTCTGATATAAGATTCATGACAAGTTCAGTTAGACCAATTACTAGTTAAGTAAGACCAATGATAAGTTCCGATAAAGTTTTCATACAAGATGAAAAATGCACAGCTCATGCTTTCTAGTCCACTTCGTTACCCTTTTTGCATTGCCCTTGACTTCAATTGTTTATATATTTTTTTAAAAACAAAAGATAGAAGGAATATAAAAGTTCAGTTTGTCCACACTCCAAAAACTTCCCAACAAAATAAAGCTTATCATTGAACTCACACATTGCCATTCATTTATGAATAAAGAGAACATAAACTCAAAGAACAAATCAAAGAACATTAAAGGGGAACCCTCTGTGTTTAGCTTCGTTCTCTACTTACAAACCAATCAATGAATCAAGGGGAAGAACAGAACAAAGAAGACAAGATTCGAATCCCCCTCTTTAGGTATGGATTCAACAAAGAGTGAATCAAAAGATGATACACTTTCATCTCAAGCTACAATATATGGAGAGCATCCGATACAGGAGATAAGAACGATTCCTTCCTACTAGCAGTGCCCGCCGTCGCCACCGCAACTATCTTCAATTTCAACCCAGAACTCGGTGACAAAAGGGAACCCAATTCCTTACCCGAGCTAGGCTTCGACAATGTCCAGTAGAAGTTTTGCTGAGCTTGATTCTTGTTTGTCTTGGTATCCTTCATCTTAGTCCCATCATTTACTTGCTTTGGAAGAAGAAATAAAGAAGACGGACACAAGAACAAAGAAGATGATAGAGAAAGAAGAGAGAAGAGAGAATCGGGAGATATGGGGGTGGGGATGAGGAAATGGGGTTAGGGTAGAAGGAGAAGGGAGTAGGAAAGAGATAGACGAAGAGAGGGAGAGGAAAAGAAGAAGAAAAGAGATTGGAAAAAAAACAAGCAGATGGGCATTTTTGACTTTTGCCCAACATTTCATAATTCATATTTAGGACCCGGTCTTTGGTAGCAATTTTTTTAATTCAGGGTCCCATTTTGCCATTTTATATATTCAAGGGTCTTTATTTGTCATTTTCCCTATTAAGTATTTATGAATTACATTTTTATATATTATTTATTATATTAGTAAAAAATTTATTATTGAAAAATTTATTATTTCAAATAAAAATATATTATAAAATATATTATTTATGTAATTATCATATTAACTTATGTCCTTTTTATTAATTTATACATATAAAAAATACTTATGATAACAATTATCCAAACATTTTTATTTTATCAAAATTATTTTTTTTATAAAATCTATTCTTACATAATTCATTATCAAAGATAATTTTTTTCAGAAGCTATTTTCTTTTGTCCAAACACCCCTACGTCAAAAAGTGAATTTGTTCACTCTGCTTCAGTTTTGAAGTTCTTGAATGTATGTGGATTCTTTGTCGTGTCAGGTAAATTCGACGATTAAACAGATTCTCGAGGGTTGAGATTCGTAAATTTGTACGATTTTTAAAAAAAATAATTTCTATCATTTAATTAATTTTTTAATCAAAACATAAAACCATTTCTCTCTTTTTTTAAAAAAATCCCAGATTATCAATGTCAAAGATTCCATTCCCCACACCAAATATAGCAAGCTCCTATGTCATGCATTCTAATTTCTAACCCGACCCCTAATTTGTTCAGTTTGTTTAGCTTAATTTGTGCCCGTACCCTATTTATTAAACGGCTTAAATTTTACAGTACTTTTATGTTATTCTTTATATATGTGTGTGTATAAAGGACTAGAATTTAAATTCTTGACCACTACTCATATCTCATCTATTATTATTTCTTGAGCCAATAACCTCAAATGGTTGTTAGTCTTTATTCTTGTATCATCTTCAGAGTTTTTTTTGTTTATTACTTCTCATATCCTTAATATAAGACCTATTTAACTGATTTGATTAGATTAAGAAAGTTAGGTAAGTTAGTTAATCGTAAAAAATATGACATGTTTTTCCTGAAATACTATAATTATCTTTTTTAATATCCTCTTTTATCTTTTACTTGATTATGGTTGAGTAAGTATCTATAGAAACAATTTAGGAAAAATTGATAAATACAAGAAATAGGTCTTATATTTAGGACCAAAATCAACTTAACAATTAGGTCCTATATTAAGTACCGGAAGAGTATTACTTTGCGTTTTTAGTATTTTATATTAGGGGTTTTTGCGATGATCTTCAGAAACCAGTTTCAGAAAAATGACTTAATGTAATAATACTATACTATACTTAAAAATCTACATTACAAGCATATTTGACGGTCTCAAAATAAAATAAAAGAAAAGCAACAGAGCTCAGGACAGAGAAGACAAGAAACATAAAGGAAGGGGGCTGCCACAGAATTGCAGAAGAAATGAAAAGGTTTCCGCATCCATAGACTATGGCCGAAGAAGGAAGAACATGTTGGAGGGAAAATGATTCACCAAATCCATCCACATCCCTGTTTCTTCATTTTGGTCCCAACCTAAGCCCCAAAAAGGTCTCTTGCCTATAAGCGCCCTCTTCATAATCCAAGCCTACATTAATATTAATATTAATGCATTCCCTTATCCCACTAGCTATCCATCTCTGCAAACTCCCAAAATCACAATGTCTGATCACAGGGCCGCATTAGCATACAAAATAAAGCTCCCAAAAAAAAAAACCCAATTCTGGTTCTAGTATTGGCTTGTGATACTCTGTGAATGAGGATCATAAGACAAAGACAAGGCAAACAAGAAGAGAAAATGGATATGAAGAAAGCATTTAGTACTTGATCGTTTACAAATTCTCCAACTGATTCCTGCTCTTTCCAGCTACATACAAGAAATTAACAGTTTCTATGTCGGCTTGTGATCCCCAGCCTACCAGCAAATCGCAGCTCACCTGTTCTATCACTGAACTTTGGCAGCTTCATTATTCTTAGCAAAACGCAACTTTATATTCTCATGGTCTAAATTAGTTGGAGCTTGATGTGGTTTTCGGAATAAGTATTACAAACCCTCTTTGCTGAACCATTGCAGGTTTTCAACTCAAACACGCACAAATTGATGCCAGCTCGCACCCTAGCTGACTGGATACAAGAAGTTCAGTTTTCTGTGTTTGCGTGTGATGCTTAGGCTACGAGAAAATCGGAACTCCCCTGTTCTACCACTGTACTATGAGAGCTTTATCATTCTTGGACATTGAAGCACTATTAATCAAAGAATTCCATCACCCCGAGACAAAGGAAACGATAACTCAATTGTCCTGTTTTCAAATTAATATTAACTGCCAATCACATTATCAACTTAATTGGTCTATGAAAGCAAACCATTGAGCTAACGTTTGCAAGGATGATAAAACATGTACAACTGCAAAGAGGGAAAAGGAAATGGATGGAAAAATCTCTCTTTTGCATGAGACTAAACAAAGAACGAACTACCCTTCTGGCGTTGAATTCTCTGTGGACTGCATTGTAAAACCAGTTTCTGGGCTTTCTCTCAACTGTGTCCTGTTTGGCTCAAAATGGCCACTCTCATTTATATCTATAGCAAAGCATTCCTTCTGAGAGTCAACACTGGCCCTGCAAATAGGACAAATGGGTGTCCGAAGAAGCCATTGATCCAAACAGTGGGCATGAAAACTGTGCTTGCATGCAGGCAATAATCTGCACTTATCCCCGGGAATCTGATTCTCCAAGCACACTGCACATTCCACAGTACTAGTTTCACTGTCTTTGGCTGCATAGTTATAACAAGGAAGCTTCTCTATTTCATCTTTCGACATGCTTCTTGCTTCATTGGTGGTTTCACTCTCCATCGTTGTGCCTCTGCCTCCTCTTCTGGATTCTCTCCTAATTAAACAAATATGAAGTAGGATCAAAACCCCTAGCCCCACCAGAAGCAATATCATGGATACAACGAATCCCATGCTTACAACTTGTGTTGCGATACCCAGAAATCTACCGTTCATTGTCCGACGTGCTTCTGGCTAAACATCGACGCAAAAATCTATCCGCCGAAGCAATCCAAATCACAAGTAACAGCCGTTCCGGTTGATGCTCATGATTGAGTTAATTCTGAACCTGGCTGGACCAATCAACATGAAAAGCTAAGCGCATGCGCAACAGGTTTGATGGGGATTGGTAGTGAAAAGCATTGTAGGGGCTAGGATCACGGGAAAGAACCGACCTGGTTTTGTCTCAATTCTCGGAACACAGAAAACTGTTGAAACTTTTAGGTTCTCTTTTCTGTTTCTACTAGAATCAAACATATATATCCGTTAAAAATCAATTCAAGTAAATTTTGTTTTTATTATCTTAGAGATATCTGGTTTTGATTATGATAGGTTATTTGAAATATTTTATTTAGGTACATTTTATCACTTAATTATTTGAGTATTTGAAATTTGAATCCGTATACCCAACCCCATGCGTGGAGATAATATATAAGCGAGAGAAAAAATAAAGATTAAAGAGAAACGTATTCTAAAAATAAATAGTAATGATAATGATAAATAGATAGTATCGCCGATCACGTGATTTAAATTTTATACAGTACATGAACATAAGCAGAATCATGGCATGTATTTTGAATACCGAAGCCCAAAAGAGCTTGATTTCCTCTGTATCTCCTCTGCTTTTATCTTTTGCCGTGTAGTATGTACGTTGGAGGCTGTATTCTACTAATCTCCCTTTGAATTATGAAGCACGCCCGCCATAGTTTAATGGATAAAACTTCTCTGGTCTCCCCTAAGATCACCCTCCATAAAGTTATGTCTTATGTGGGATTAGAATTGGATTTTGCCGTTATGATTGTCGTGTTAATTAAGGATTTTTAGCTTAAACTAAGGTGGGCACTCCGATAAAGAAATTACATGCCGACAAGGCAATCTCATTCATCATTTTTTTTCGATTTAGCAAGTCCCACCTTCGGTCTTTAATATAAGAACTAGTTAATTAATTTGAGTAAATTAAAAAAATTAGATAAATTAGTTATTTGTAATAAATAAGTGTTTTCTTTTTGAAAATATCCTTATTATTACAAGGACTACCTTGAAAATAAATAAATAAATATAAGAGACAAAATAGATTGGGATTTTATATTTAGAACCAAAACAAAAATCAAACTAGCTCTTATATTAAGCACCGAAACTAGTATAATTTAAAAATTGAAGAAGCACTTTCATTCTAAAATGGCGGTGATATTTTTTTTCCAAAAAAAAAAAGTCTTAATGGCATTATAGATGGAATTAATTTATGTATGCCAATAGCGGATGGGTTCTAAGCAACATGAGAAACACGGAAACTGAGTTCTCGAATTCAGAAGGGCGACCCCCGCATTGGAAATGATTTTGTCAAAGCTAGTCAATTACTCAAGCATTTGACCAAAAACAGCTATCCAAGGCAAGACAAGGGGAAGACTCCAAAGTGACAGAACGTCTCTCTCTCTCTCTTGGGGGATAACAAGTCACGGTTTTAAACAGTTACAAACAAGTTTAAAGGGGATACTGATAGTTTTGATCGGCAGAAGTTGTCGCATGAATCCATTTCCAGGTGCTCAGAAACAATAGGCGGCAAGGGATTATTAAATCTCTCATAGGTATTTTGAAGCTCGAGCAGCTTCCCGGGACCCTGGAATTTGTCAATTCCATTCCCTTTATGCCTTCCGCACCCTATTAAGTAAAGTGCAAGGAATACAAGGCAAAAATATGTTAATCCTCATGATCCACTCGCTAGCAAGAAAGCACAAGGCTATGTTCATTACTCTTCCACCAAAGCCATTTCAAAATTTCAACTGAAGGAAGGCCATGCAATCAGGTCAAAGCAGTTAAATTTCCTTTAAGAACTATAAGGAGTAGCAGCTGTGAAGAGTGAACCTCATTCTGGGTTTCATAAAATTTCACTGGACCTGTGCTAGTTTTAAGAAAGCCTTGACCCTTCAATAAGGATTTGACTCCAAGAAAAATAAAAACGCGCACTCACAAGACATGATATTAACCGCCAAAATGGAGAGGCAGCTCAAGTAACAGCGTTCAGAAAGACCATGGAGAATTAGCAGTAGTTTCTGCAGCTTCAAAACTCCTTGGACATAAGTATTTGCACCTTTTTTCCTATAAAAATAAGCAAGTATGCCATTGAAATTCGACTATCCCCAAAAAAAAAAAAAAAAAAAGAATAAGAAGAAGAACCAACGTTTACTCTGTTTGCATGCGAGACAATATGCTTGTTTTATAAACAAATTAGCCAGCTACCCATGCAACATTGCACGGGTTTAAAAAAGATTATACGTCCGTTAAATTACGATACAAAACAACAAAACATGCATCCCGATACAAGTCAAATATCTAGAATTATAACACTCTTCACAGGCTAAATGAGTCAAATCCTCTTCCTACACACACACACACACACATATCAGCGTATTGATTCTTTTCGGCTGCTAAAGGATTTGAGGGGAGCATGAGTGGGGTATGTTTACACAGACTCTTCTTCCACCTTTCTCTAAAAGATGAAATGGACTATACCATAATGCATCGGACAGATATCTCTAATGAAGGATCGTTGTGATAAGGTATACCGCAAAAGAAGAACACTCACAACACTGCGAAGTTCAAGTGAAATTGTCTCAAGTCATACAATCTTACCAATAGCGGAACACTTCGATAAAAGCACACTGAGGCCTTTGCACGAATTCGAGGGTTCTTGTTCTTGGGATATGGTAGCAACTTTGGTAACAAAGACATCGGGGAAATCCAAGTAGTCATTGCTACGACGGACCTGTCAGCTACCTCACATACGAAACGTTTGTCCTGCGAAGACTTGAGAAGAAGCTGTACATTAAAATACAGTCAACATTAAACAATACTATGATGGCAGTCTTGCAAACAGCACTTCTAGGACTTTTCAGGGATTTGGCGATAAATTTGATCCCATCCCCCCTGTTTACCAGATTGCATATCAATAAATTAATTAATAAAAAATTAATCAATCTGAACCTACAATATTTCATTTTTAAAAAATATTATTTCAGTAAAAGGAGTATACAGTCTAATACTTACAACATGTCAAGCATTGCTTCCTTGTGAAATATTGATATGAGTGCTTCACATACTAGCATCCAGTCCTTAGAGTCTAATCCATCTGCGAGGGTTTGTTGAAAATGAAATAACCAACTTCACTGGAGCTTAAGCATTGGCTTTCTAGCAGAAGCAAAACGTTAAAATGGATCAAGTTACTAATTCAGGCCATATTTGATATCATCCATCTTAACACCTAATCTCCGACCCAAGATCAACTGATAAAATGATACCTTGAGACAAGTTCCAATGCCTTCCAGATCTTTCAAATTCTCTGATTCAGTGTATTATACTTCTGCATTTCCAATCCCTACTTCAGATTTGACTACTACTTGATTTCAAGTGACAGGTGAAGAAACCAAGCGGGCATAATTTTTTTTCTTCTCGCCCTCTCCAGGGTTTCCATCAGCATTCTCAACGGGAGGCTTAGTTAAACATGACTTACTAAGAGCCTTTCCTGACATACCTGTCACAATTCTGAAATATATAAGACGTAAGACCAAAGTTAAACAACTACGTTGGCACGAAATGTGAGAAGAAATAGAATAACTGAAAATGATTGAAGTTCAAAGCTGAGCTTAATGGAGAAAAAACAATTATCAGACTATAGTGCAGAATACAACCAAAAATCCACCAACAAACCTCATTAATCATAACCCCTCCCCCCGGGAGGAAATTTCTGTCGCCTGTTCCACTTCACTCGATGACTGCCTTTAGTCATTAAGATTCAATGGGGACTTTTGAAAATTTATCAGATTATGGTTCAGAATATAACCAAAAATCCGCTGCCAAGCCTAATTAAGCATTCCCCTTTTCTTTAGGTAGCAGCAGTTTAAATCCTAGCAAGCTTCCGCTTAGGGCAGATTTTGCATACCGATTTTCCCTTTATTCCAAATGCTCGACAAAACTCCAAATCACTGGATAGGTCTATGGTCCAAACCATCCTATATATGAAAGTATGTCCTAGTGCCCAGGAATTCAAGAGACAATAAATCAATACAGTCTCTTAAGGTAAGTGACTGGCCTACAGTGCATAGTTCGCTCCTAAAATAAGATCACGCTGTTCATTTGGCCTAATTAGTTGAAAACGAATCAGGTAATGCATCAGATTCAACTCGAAAGAAGACCCTTCGGATTTTTGAGCTGTCCAATAGTTAGTCTGCATAAGAGGAGAGTTAAAAAGTAAGATCCGGACCTGACATGTACCATATATACAGCAAGATCCGGACCTGACATGTACCATATATACAGCCGACTCTTGCAGAATCAACACAAGCATTTCAACCCAATCCCACCGTTGCGGATCACATTCCGCGTGTTTAGCTAGAGTGCAAAGAAGGAAGAAATTACCAGCCGAATGCCCACGGAGACAGTGCTGGACCAGCAAAAGACAAGAAACGCCTGTCAGACGACGTCCTCAGTGAGTACCCCGAAAGTTAGATGTTTTTTTAAGAGAGAGAACAGAATTTACTATCACTTCATAGATTATAGATTGTATATATCCATAAGCAGGTAAAAGAGAGTGGCTGTACAGATTGTAGATAAACCGCCAACCTGGCGGCAAGGATAGATTCACCTGCTTTTCAAATCCGTCCAATTGGCTGCCAGGCCCAGGAAAAGAAATTTATAAGCTACGCCCACGTCACACCTTAAATTTATTTACACGGGCTCTGGTGTCCAAAAAAGTCCTAACATTATAATGAGCACCTGTTTAGATGGCAAAAAAAAAAAAACAGCACTTA